TACGAAATTTCATAACGAGTAGGACCGCGCACCGTCATGCGTGGCGGAGCGGCGGTCACACAAACCACGTCTTTTCACGTTACGTCGTATATATTTAAAGGGATAATACTACATTAGATTTCAGAACTAAGCCGTCTCGTAACTGAAAACCACGTCTCGTGGCGTGATCACGTTCATTTAGCTAGTGAGGGGAGTTAGGACGCGAGAATCATAACTTGAGGCAGACGCTCGCATGCTATTAAATTTCTAAAATACGTTCAACTTTTCTACGATAAGTTTGAAGTGGTTTCGACATTTTGAATACCATTTTAGGATTTACATATTGTTACTAGTGTTTAGAACTAAAGTGTGACGTTAACTAAAGTAAATGTTATGAACATTATACAACAGCAAAATCGAAATTGATTTTAGATGCAAAAGGATATTGAAAGAAGTAACTCGATAAGATGTAATAGAATGCGTTAGCAAATTAATATCTTAACTAAGAATCAGCATTCCCTTTTGCGAATTAATCGATGTGTAAACGTTTGCAAAACCAATCGGAAAATAATTTCCGCTCGTTACCATTCAACAAACTTGGAGTAATCTCGTTAGCACCGTGGAATTCGAGCGAAGCTAAGATACTTGTTTTGTGACTAAATAACTATCAAATCACGAGTCATAGAACGCTTTGTAATAATAATAATAATAATAATAATAATAATAAACCTTTTATTTCCAATCTACATTTTTTTAAACATTGTCTTTTGAATATATATATTACATATTAGCTTGCTTTCCATCGATCGGAACCCCTTTACGGGTAAAGGCCTCCTCCAGCGTCTTCCAGACCTCTCTATCCATAGCCTTTTCCATCCATTCCCTTCCCGCTACTCCTTCTATATCTTCTATCCACCTCTTTCGAGGGCGACCTCTTTTCCTTTTTCCTCTTGGTCCCTTCCATATAATTGTCTCTTTGGTCCACCTTTTGTCCGTGTATCTCGCTATATGTCCTGCCCACTGCCACTTCTGTTTTAGAACATATTGTAGGGCGTCTATCACTTGCGTTTTTCGTCTTATTTTTTGTCGCTTTTCACTTTTTGTATCCTTCTCAGTTTCAGTATGCTTCTTTCCATTGCTTTTTGGCACATTACAACTTTGCTTTTTATTTTAGTGTTGTAAGTCCACGTTTGGCATCCATACGTTAGAGTAGGTAAAACACAGGTATCCAAGACTGTTTTCTTTAGGTGGACAGGATATTTCCCTTTTAAGATTTCTTTTAGAGACCAAAATTTTTTCCAGCTCATGTTTATTCGCCGGTCTACCTCTTGAACTTCACCTTTGTCCTCGAATGATAGTTGTTTTCCTAGGTATATATAACCGTTCACGTATTCTAGCGGTTTCCCGTTTAGGTTTATAGTGTTTATGCGACTGTTTGTCATTATTTTGGTTTTGTTCTCGTTCATTTTGAGACCTACTTTTTCACTTTCGTTATTTAAGGTGTTTATCATTTTTTTCCAGTCGTTTACTTGTTTCGGCGAATAAGACAATATCGTCTGCGAATCTGAGGTGCGTAAGTCGATCCTGATTAACACGGATTCCTTCCGACCGCCAGTCGAGATTGTCAAAAATATGTTGTAGTACCATTATAAAGAGTTTGGGTGAAAGGGGGTCGCCTTGTCTCACTCCTCTACATATCGGTATAACAGGTCCTCGTGTCTCCAGTTTCACTTGGCTTACGCTACCCTCGTAGATGTTTTTTAGTACCTTTATATAGTTCTCGTTTATGTAGCATTTATTCAGCGCTTCCCAAATAGCGTCGTGAGAGATTGTGTCGAACGCTTTGGTATAGTCTACAAAAGCAATATATAGTGGTCTGTTGAACTCTTTGTATTTCTCAATTACCTGTTGCATTACTTGTATATGGTCTATTGTAGAAAATCCCGCGCGAAAACCGGCTTGTTCGACTGGTTGGTATGTATCAATGTTCCTGCTCAGCTGGCTTTGTAGAATTGTGGTGAATAGTTTATAGATACTTGAAAGAAGACTAATGGGGCGGTAGTTAGAGATGTCTTGAGGGTCTCCTTTCTTGTATAAGAGAATTATATCAGATCTTTTCCACTGTACCGGTACTTCACCTGTTCTCAGAACCTTGTTAAATAAATAAGTAAGTGGTTGAGTTAGTAAGGAAACACCAGCTTTCAGTGCTTCATTTGGTATGCCATCGGGGCCAGGAGTTTTATCTGCTTTGAGTTTTCTGATGTGGTCGATAACTTCCTTCTCATGTATTGTTGGCGATTCGTTCATTTTATGAGAGTTTGTTCTTACTATGTCAGATGTAGTGGTGTAAGAAGTTGTATTTGCATATAATTCTTTATAAAAGTCTGTGGCGCAGTTGATGATATCTTTTCTGGTTTTTGTTTCTTCTGATTTTGATTTTAGGTTTTGTATCCAATTTCTATGTGTGGTTAATTTCTTGTACGCTTTTTTCGTGCTTCTGTAAGTGTTTAGATTGCTTTCTATTATTTTGTATCTGTAGTCTTTGTAATCTTTATCTATTGCTTTATTTGTGGTTTTAAATAACATGCTCAGCTCTTGTTTCATTTCTTTAGTCTTTGGTTTCGTTTTCAATAGTTCAGTTCGTCTTGCGAGGAGAATTTTAGTAGACTCACAAAGTATTTTGTTGATAGTCTTCATTTCATTATTCTTTGATCTGTGCACAAGGCTGGTGTTGATGATGTTGACTAGTTTATTGTAAAAGGTTTGAATGTCTTCTTCTTGCTCTGTTTCTAGTTGATATATGTAATTCTCTAGGTTTTTTAAGTATATTGATTTTGCCTCGTCCGTCTTTAGTGACTTAGGTTGCGATTTGAATAACGTTCTACTCTTTTTCCTTTGATCTAGCATGTACGTGGCTCTAACCAATCGATGGTCAGATCTGAATCCGAAGCCATGTAGTACTTCTACGTTCCTAATCCTCGTGGGGTGACTTGACAGTATGAAGTCAATTTCGTTTTTAAAGTTACCACAAGGGGAGAGCCAGGTCCATTTCCTGTTTTTTCGTGCTTTAAAAAAGGAGTTCATAATTGCCAGTTTATATTCCAAGGCGAATGGAATTAGTTTTTCTCCTCTTTTATTTCTTTTGCCGTATCCAAATTTTCCCAGAACAAGGTTTACGCTGTCTTTTGTTGTGTCATGGCCAACTTTTGCATTGAAGTCACCGATAAGTAATACGTTATCTCCTGCTTGGCTTTGAGCTACATGTAGATGTTCATAAAAAGAGTTAGTTTCTTCATCTGTGGCGTTTGAAGTAGGCGCATATACTTGTATAATTGTAAGTAGTTGATTGTTATATTTCATTTTTAGTAGTGCAACCCGATCTGAAAACGCTGTAAAGCTGACGATGTTATTTCTGTGTTCTTTTTTTATAAGAAATCCAACTCCATGTAAGCCGGGTGTTTCGCCTTTGTAGCAGAATATATAATCTTCATGTTCTTCAATTGCATAGCCCTTTCTTCTTACTTCTGCTAAACCTAGTATGTCGATTTTAATTTTTTGTAGCATATATGTTAGTTCTAAATATCTGTTCGTTGTTGCTAAAGATCTTACGTTAAATGTTCCTATTTTGAGAGTTTGTTGTGGTCGTCGTGATGTTCTATTTGTTTTTTCTGAATTTGCTGGAGGGTTATGGTCATTTTCCCCCACGGGGACCAGCCGGCTTGGGGGAGGGTATTTATTTACTATGTCTTCATGTGTTTTTTCTTTTATTTGTATTAAAATATTATATTGAGAGTCAAATCATAAAGTCAATTATTACTATTTCCAAAGATATCGGTTGAAAGCATAAAATTGAGCATTCATTTATTTATATAGGATCTAAATAAATATGAAATAAATTTATTCAATACTTCAAGACTTTTTGTAATTCATCTCTAAAATATTTTTTAATAGCATTCACGCAAAAAAAATGTTTCATGTAAATAAATAAGGCCAGCGAAAAATATTAATTCTTGGACACTTTCTATTTGTTATCAAAGAATTAATTATATATTTCAATATTAAATTTAAAAATTATATTTATTGTATTTATTTTGATATTTAAAATCAAATTAATCCTACCGAAATTATGATCAGCTGATATTAATTAATATATCAACCCAAAGCGGTCATTTAAAATGGTCTTTACGTCATATAAACTGAATTTTACTCATAAAATCAACCATGAGTCTATATTTATTAAGAAAAATGGAAATAGTATAAAATAATTTTAAAATAAGTAGTGAAATTAACAATTAAAAAGAAAAATAAAAATAATGAGAATCACTTGATTTAATAAAGTTGGTTATAAGATTTGACGAAATTAAAAATAAAACGATTTTTTATTGTCATTGAGTGTCATACAGTGACGTTGGTCAACTTCTTTTTAATTTCTCCTTCAATAAACCTCTAAGTGTGAGAATAGATTGGAAACAAAACAATGGAACTAAAACAGAAAATAAATAAAGCTGATCACACTTAAAGTAAGTTCGTATCAGATTGGAAATACTACAATCGAAGCCAATTAAATAATTTACAAATATTTAAAGATAATAATTATGTTTAATTTAATTATGTTAAGATAATAATCATAAAATCACTGTTTAAAAACAAAAGAACTGCACCTTCTTTAAATCGACTTCCAATTTTTCATAATAAAGTTAACAGGATCTTATAGTTGACTAAACGAGAAGTTAAAAGAGTCGAAGCACAGTCTATGTACTGCTCTGTGTATTCAAAATGTACTAATAAGTTATGAACTAGCAGACTTGACTAAACAAATGTATAGAAATAAACGAACCTCTCAAACTAAACAAGTTTCTATTAGAAGAGAAATATTACTACTAAAAGCAAATTAATCAGGAGCTATTAATCAATATGGAAATAAAAAAATATTATTCGTTAACGAAACTATATTCCGTGTAATTAATATTTCATATTAAAATCATAACGATAACACGAAATTAACAAATATTATTTGGGCGATGATGAACATTCACGCTTTGGTTGTAGTGGTTTTTTCTTGTTATATAAAACTTGATGCGGGTATGTTTTTCTATATAATAATATAATTTTAAGCACCCACAACCACAATCACACATAATATATTTATTATTAAGAAAAGATAATTTCGTTTGTAGTAAATAGACTAAAAACTTTTGTTATTTAAAATTATCAGCGAATATCATTTAATGAAAATTATTTTCCATAATCGTAATGTGTCACTTAAATTGAACGTACATTCTAACAATCTTCATAACGACGTGTTCTTAGGAACAAATTGTAGCTCATGCTCCTTACCGGCTTTTAACGAGAGTCCACAAAGCGACATTGTTGAGACCGTAAAAGGAAAATAAATTTCACGGCCCATGCATGTCTTGAGCGTGCTTTTAATGCTATAATAATAACTGATGGTAGTATGACCATGCATAATATTTGTCAGGATAAAATATTCATGAACAGATTTACTAATTTTGACATCAGGTCTATGGTTGGTAAAAGTAATATGCGAATTTCTTTGAATGAAAATAGTTTCTTTGACGATTTGAGGTTCAAAAGAAAGTAAAATATGTAAACATGACGCTTGAGTTTATGGGTATGGCAAATATGTAAGTATAATGAATTGACAGGTCTTGATTTAGATTAAACATCAGATGTTGATGAAATTAATTTATTGTAAAATATTACTAGCAGATTTTTTTTTTATAATTAGAACACTTTTCAAAAACAAAATGTAGCGTTTTCTTTTTAACTTTAATTTCTTATTTTCTAATTAAAAAACAAAATTTTCTTTTAAAAGTAAATCATAAATGTTAGCCGGCTTCGGTTAATAGCTCTCAGTGAGCATTCTTCACTTTAATCGCGTAATTATTCAGGATTATATTATTATATTTTAATAACTTTATGGACAAGTTCATTTGCTAGCGAACTATAAAACGGTTTACGACGTCGTTTTCACCATATTTCAACCTTTTAGTTTATAGGACACACGATTTTTTAAAACTCTCATCCCATACAAACAAAAACCATATTTATATTTTATTGTGAAAATTCTCGAATGTTTTAGTTCCACCAGAGGCTTGTTTCGCAAAGTTTAGATGGGAAAGCTGCGGGGGGCCTCCAGAGCGTGTGTTCTACTACTGGAAACCAGGATCAAGATGTGAGGTTGGAATCTGGCAAGGATGTCTCCCGAACTTGAACATGTTCAAAGATGAGTACGAGTGCGTCTCAACCTGTATCTTCGGTTCGAGGGCCTTGGCTCCGGATTATCATGTGATCCTTGAGGAAACCACTGAAGCAACTACTGAATTTGAGACAACAACGGAACTCGATACTACAAACGCAACAAATACTGAAGATACAGGGAGTACAGCTGGGCTTAATGTTACGGAGACAGAACCAGCTGGTGGGAACAGTACGGGTGGAGGTGCGAATACAACAGCAACAGGATAAAAATTACTTAAATCTTTTTTATTCAATAAATCATTCTACAAAATTTTATTTTAAATTAATTGTTGGTACACGATACATCAATAGTTTACTACAATTATAATAATGCATTTAGTACATTTTTACGAGATATATTATTTGTGTAAAGCTAAATAGTATATGAGTGCGACATTTATGTGTAAATAAACCGTGATGAAAAATAACATACATAATGTAATTTATAATAAGTACTGATAAGAAAGGAATCTTGAATGCATCGGTGCAGGAGAACATCATGATCAGGCGTCTAAACAATATATTTAAGTGTAAAGATAATCATCATAAATTATCAATTACATAGTCACTCTATTTATATGTTAGAGAATTCATAAATGGATTTTCATAAAAAAAAAATCCCTTCAAACCGGGACAGAAAATAATGACATTATTTTTTTAAACGATGGTTATCTATGTGAGCTCATCAAGATGTCACAGCCTCATCGTTAAACCAAGTAAGTGATGTTTAAAATTAATTTAATTTCTTGAGCAGTTATAATAATTATTTTAATGTTCAAATATGATAGATATCAACCCTTAAAAAGAAGAATAAATAATGCTAACGAATCGAAATTAACTAATGTAGATTTATATAACAGCCAGATGTTCAATAGAAAAAAATAAACACATTTTACTTTCTTTGTTTAAGTGATAAGCTAACTAGCTGGTTATTTTTTATTTTTAACGTCTTCCAATCCTTTAAAATTACTTCCCTAATCTATATTCACTGTCCTCCGAAACACTATCCGGGATATTCCCATTTTATCAACTTAGCTCGGTGATAATAGATGAAAAATGTCCCAACGTGGCTGGAGATTTTGCTTAGCTTGCTTATGATTTATCGCAGTTTGAACAACAGGACGCGGCGATAGGAGTTGCTTTATGTGTATACTTTGTAGCTAAGTTTAGTGAAGTATAAATGTAAGGAAAATATAGCACTGTATAGATTTTGTTACTCTTTACGATACGCAATAGTTGTAAATAAGATTTACAGCTAACAATATCGGTAACTTAAGTTTAAACAGCTAACAGTATACGGAAGAATTTTCTGATAGTTTTATATGAGAATTATTTAATAAATATCATATAAATTTACAATATTATGAGCTTATACTTTATTAACAGCCATAATTAAGATACTTTCGGCTGAGTTGCCAAAATGTCGGCTTCATGCGAAGTAAGCTAAGCTTAGGTTAACTTGTATAAACAGAAGACTATGAAGTAATCTCACCTTGTCTATGTAAATTCATACATACATATTTCTAATATTATATAAAATATAATCTCTACCCCAGAACTCCTTGTGGAACACAAAGTGATGGCAAACCATTTCTCACTTTCGGCAGCTGTCCTTTTGATATATTGTTATTGTATCATACACACCTTAACCATTTATGGTGAGCCCTTAATCTTTGACACTCAGTCGCATGTTGTTAAAGGAACAGAGTTCCCAGTAAAGTGGCGATCTCGTTAGCAATATATGGAATTGTGGACATATTTCGCATATGAAGTGCCCTGGGAATGTCTGAAGTGGGTTTATAGGTTGTATTATATTCTGGAGCTAACATTATCATAGGAAAATATTGCTTTGTTTCAAATACACTTGCGGGAATGGTAACTTGAGGGATGAGGTATTATGAAGGAACAAAGAATAGTAGTGTATAAACATACACCTGTGCCTTTTCTTGTTTCGTTTGTTTAGTTTTGTGTAGTTTAAATGTTGGCCGTAGTTAGGCCACTACACAAACTGATTCCGTAATATGAAAACACCGAGAATTCAGCTGAAAACGGATTTAAATTAGTTGCATAAAATATGTTATAAACTCCTAATAAAGTTTTAACCGATTGCCGCTTGCGATCGGAAAGTTTCGGAAGTCCATTGCAGGTGCTTCGGTTGATAAATTGGTGCTAAAGTAAGGTGCTAAAGTTCCACCGTTGCTGGATAAACTTAAAGCGATAAGCCTAGCTGTACAGAAAGATTCATTTAGAAATTGAATTGTTTGTGAATGGACTTTTAATAAAATCTTTTTCTTTGTTTTACATTTTGTGCGATATGTAACGGACATCGTAGATCGATGTAAATAAAATAAAATTCTTGACTCATATAACTATATGTTAAAAGTAAATTAAAACGTATACATATATTTTGTTAGGTTCTTAGCATCTCACGAAACTTGAAAGATATTCGACACCTACATTCAACAATACGTTTATATATATAGTTGAGAGTTTTATTGTGTTATGTATACAGTCATACACGAGATTTGTTTACTGTAGAACGTAAACGTCGGTTCATTAAGTGACACTCGAGTTGGAACGACTGATGTAATTTATTCATAAGTTTTGAGTTAAAAAGTTTGCTCGTTACCATCTCTTAGTCTTGCCTTCCCTTTGACAGGGTGTCGACTTAATGGCATTTTCGGGGTTCACTATAAACTAGGCTTGATGTTCTCAAAAATAATTAATTCATAAGTAGATTTTAAAGTACACCGTCACCATGTTCTACATATATTATTATTTATATTTTAAAAGTTTTAGTTATGGCTATATAAAAGTATTATCACATTTATTTGCGAATAATATTTTCTTACTTTTAGAATACATCATTTTATTCTGAGTCAGAAAAAAATAGGTATCTTAATTAAATAGATATAAGAGAGACAGATAAGACAAAAAAGAAATATATTATATAAATAAAATACATAAAAAGAGTAAAGAAAATATTGTGATACTATGAACAATCATAAAGTGACTTTGCATTTTTACTCAAGGATAAGTTAAAATAAATTTCGTACTCTAAAAAACTATTGATTAAAAGCTGTTAATGACCACAAAAATACAAATATAAAATATACAGACATGTCTAGTTATAAGCCTAAAATCTTTTCAAAGAAGGTTAAAATATCGACGCCTCAAGTGTCTCTCTAAACGCATAAAAGTATACGAGTATGTCTGTTCAGTTTTCTTTTTCTACGTCGCATTTGGTCGGCAATAAACATGACGGATAGCTTTTTATGCGGGCACTACATTTTCTACTGCCTGAAAGATTTTCTTACTCCGCTGGTACATGTATACGATATGAAAAGTAAATAATTGAAAAGAAACCATTTCTATGATTCATGTTTTCTGGTTAATATTTTTATAAATATAATGTTTTTCACTAGTGCACAGAACGTCACAAACCTATTTATAATATTTTTTTACTGGCATCATTAATCATTACTGTAGAAAATTTGTACTAAAATGTAAAACAAATTTTCATACTGCGTCATCCATATATATTTATATTATTTAACACCTAATTTGGTTATCTGCTAAAACATTTCTTTTTCAATTAGTGAAGCCTCTCTGTATGTTAAAAGTTCTTCATTTCCAAGCCGCTTTTAAGGCCTATATAAGACGATGCTGATTTCTCAAATCTAGATGCCGCTAATTGGCTGAAGCTTGCATAAAGCATATAGCTTATCACGTCTTATTAACATCGGTCCAAGTGTTACCAAGCATCTGTCTGATTTTACTGAAGTCGCTTAATTAGGCCTTCGCAAATGTTGATAAGAAACGCTGCTGTTTTGTTTACTTCACAAATATAGAGTATTTGAGTTTCTAAGAAAATACCAATATGTATGAACGCAAATTAGGCATTTATTTTTACATTTATAGCTCTAGTACTGGCATAATATCTGGAATATAAAGTACTAGAGCCGTTTCAGGAAGCAGGAGGTGCAGGCAATAAGCAATATCGAATCGATTCGATTCTAGATCGCAATTACATTACATGGACCATTGGACATTAACAGCGTTTCTCGTTTAGTATGGACTCCATATCTGGTGGGCCGTTACTGAAAGAACTAAATATTATAGATGATACGTAATTACTCAATATATAAAACGACCACATTTATTTCATTATTGAGAATTTTTATTTATTTATTTAATACTATCCGAAAGATGAACCAAAAGCACTAAAAATAGTATCTATGATTCAAACTTAAAGGACTTAAGAATTATAAAAAAAAGAAAGAAAGAAAGACATTACTAAAAAAATAACTTTACTAAATTAAATGACTAACTTAATTAAACTATTTTTACTATATACATGTCTAACACGTAAATAAAACAAAAAGTGAAAGTAAATATGATAACAAGCATCTTGAGGAAGTTTTGGCTTTGTTCAAACAAATACTCTGTTAAAGTTCTCTTGAAGATCTTTCTGATTCAAGATCATCTGACGAATTCTGTTAAGCCATTCCAGAGCTGGTTTTCGTTGCCACTTATTGTTACATTGACATTCCAAAATTTAATAAACATTGTTCTTAATTTTTGTTTGTTTTTTCGGTTAAAGCCTACATTAAACTACTACTTTCAGAAGAAAACAAAAAAGTCCATATATTACGTACAGGACAAGCTACGGGCGAATAGTAGTTATGTATTATGTCTGATTAGATTTTTCGACATCGCTTATAATTTTCTTGAGAAAACATCTTATATTAATCATTTGAAGACAAACTTGAAAATATTTTCCTTCCCTTTGACTTAGATATTCCTTTCGGATGTACCGTCTGTGACTTGTGTAAACAGATCTAGTACTTATCGCATTAAACATAGAGGCGGTAATCTAACAAAAATACACACATGTGGAACAATTCAGTCGAAACATTATTGGGCGTTCAATTGAATTCCTTGTTTTGGCTCGTCTGCGGCGTCTACTGAATGTTTGCAGTGCCTATGTTGAGCGTAGCTTTACTTAATCGATTCAGCTCACGATTATCTTACATGAGTGATTTCAAATTATACGTATATTTTGTTTCCTCTCCTCGTTTTAATTTGTAAATTTAATTGATAACCGAGCTTCGGCTCATACAAATGGAATTTTTAACGTTAATAACAGTCGAAATCGTTTTAATGAAGGGAGAATAAATTAAACAAGTTAATCCCCGCGTAGTGATCGTGTCGGGAGGGTTTTATCG